AACCTCAACAAACACCTGCAAAGAACACATGCTAAGGTGAAGCTAATAGCTAAGGACCCCCGAACCCAGAGTGAGGATGTTGTGAGTGCGCCGCCGCCGACTCCGAAGCAGCAAAAATGAGAATTTGGAGGACCGGTAACCAAAGCAGAGATGGACAGGCTTGTAGCATCCTTCATAGTAGAGGAAATGTTGCCCATTTGCACAGTGGAATCACCATCTTTCAGAGATATACTGCGCAAAATACAGATAGCAGGAGACAGAGGACAGCCATGGTCAGATAGGAAAACATTCAGGAGCTATAGAAGAAGAAGAAGAAGATACACTTTATTAATCCCTTACAGGGAAATTTCCTTCCCCACTCTGTTGTGTTTACACACATTACACACACAGGGGAGGATATACATGCACAAACACAGAGGATATACATGCACACACACACAACCACATGCAGATAGGAGAGGTGGCAGAGCAGAGAGGCTGCCAGGTACCCGGCGCCAAGGGAGCAGTTTCGAGGTTAGGTGCCTTGCTCAAGGGCACCTCGGCAGTGGCTTTGGAGGTGAACTGGCACCTCTCCAGCTACCAGCTCACTCCATCTTTTTTTGGTCCGATCGGGACTTGAACCGGCGACCCTTCGGTTCCAAGACCAAGTCCCTACAGACTAAGCCACTGCCGCCCTATCTGGAGCAGTCTTATGCGACAATGGAAACTGAACTAAAGAGAACATTTGAAACTTTATCAGTCTGCGTGATCTGCCTGCAGGGAGGGGCGGGCCGGCCCTGCGAGTAAAGTAACGAGTAAAGTAGCGAGTAAAGTAACGAGTTACTTTATGTAGAGAGTAACGAAGTAGTGTAATATATTACTTTTTTTACAAGTAATATGTAATATATTACTTTTTTTTAGTAACGACCCCATCTCTGCTCATAACTCCCTTATTACTTATCCTAGATGCACAGCCAACCCCTCGATTAGCATCTCCTGGAGACACAGAATCGTTTGGTGCCCACCTCAACACTCAGTGATAAACATTTGCGATGCTATAAATGAAAGCGTACATCAGAACATGTGGAGCTAGGTAGCTAGAAACGCTAACATGGCTTACGTTGGTCAAAACTGGTCTTCAATGGCATTACAACAATAAAAAAACGATGCTGCAGTTAATCCATAGGTTAATCCAATGTGTCTGTGTCCTCTTTGAAATGATTTCTGATAATCCATAAGCAATAAAACTGCTTTTTCGTTTCCAAATGTCAGAGTGAGAGATCGCTTCACTCTGGTGCAAACCTGCATGCGGGAAGCCCCCACCGTTTGTTTTCACAACGAGTGTGTGTGGGGGCCTCCCCCTTCGATTCTATTGGCTCTAACGGTCAGAAAGAGGTGTCAACCATCAAAATCGACCAAGGGGGGCCAGAGATATGGAAAAAAAACATTTTCACCCAAATCACCTCAGAGGTGGAGTGGTTTTGGCTAAACCTCTCTAAAAAGGTCAAATGTCACTTGTTTTGCATCAATGTTGATACAGGGTACTTATTATATGTTGTACTTTGGATTCCTAAAGCTTTTAGTCTACTAACCCATCATCCAAGGGTAGTTGTCACTATAAGTAAAAAAGAATTTTTGGACGGACACTATAATTTACAGTTTTTTACTATGTAAAATCTGAATTTTCTTTAAAATAAAAAACATCTATATTGATTCTGACACGTCTACATCCAACTCACAGATGTAACCTTGCTTTGATAAAAGAAATTATTCATATAACCCTTTTAGAAGTTAAGTTGTAGTCATTTGTTTTGGGCATGTCATTTTCGAGCCTGAAACATGAAAAACGGGCTTGGTGCTTAACCTGTTTCACGCCTTCCCCCCGGTACCGGGCGGATAAACGCGTCATTTGCAGGAAACAACGTCTAAGGAATCTTAATATTGAATAAAACTATGAATGTGTTATATCCATGTAACGGGAAGAAACTCAGCTAACTGATCTTTTTAATTTTTTTTTTCAAAAAAAACCCACAATGCTAGCACTCAGCCTCTGAATTAGCCTCGATCGAAAAAACGGGACCGACAAAGACACATAAACTCACTCAGAACTCCCTTATTACTTATCCTAGATGCACAACCAAACACTATTTTTTGGTGTCCTGGAGACACTGAATCTAACGGTGCCCACCTCAACACTCAGTAATAAACATTCGCGACGCTATCAACGAAAGCGTACATCATCACATGTGGAGCTAAGAAGCTAAACACGTAAATATATCTTACCTTGGTCAAAAGTGGTCTTCAATGGCATTAAAACGATAAAAAAACGATGCTGCAGTTAATCCATAGGTTCATCCTATGTGTCTGTGCCTTCTTTGAAATTATTTCTGATAATCCATAAGCAATACAACTGCGTTTTAGTTTCCAAACTCCAGAAGGAGACATTCCTCCAGTTTAGTTTCGCTTTCCACACGCGAAGCGGCAACATTTTTTCTTTACAATGTGTGTCTATGTAAGTATCCTCCTTCGATTCTATTGGCTCTAACGGTCACAAGGGTATGTCAACCAACCAGATCGAGCAAGGGGGGCCAGAGATAGGTCAAATCCACCCAAATGACCCCAGATGGCCCAGTTTTTGGCTAGATCTCTCTAAAAAGGTCAAATTTCACTTGTTTTGCATCAATCTTGATACAGGGTACTTATTATATGTTGTACTTTGGATTCCTAAAGCTTTTAGTCTACTAACCCATCATCCAAGGGTAGTTTTCACTATCTGTAAAAAATAATTTTTGGACGGACACTATAATTTACAGTTTTTTACTATGTAAAATCTGAATTTTCTTTAAAATAAAAAACATTTATATTGATTCTGACACTTCTACATCCAACTCACAGGTTTATCATTACTTTGAGAAAAGATTATTAATTTAACCCTTTTAGAAGGGAAGATATGGTCATTTGTTCTGGGAATGTCATTTTCGAGCCTGAGACCTGAAAAACAGGCTCAGAGTGGAACAGGTTAACAGGTTAAAACAGACGGTGCATGAATGCGGTTTTGCGGTAAGTGAAATTTGAGTACTTTATTTATGTGTTGCTTATGTTTTTAGTCAGCTAACGTTAATGAATGTTAAGGCTTGGGTTAGCATGTAAGCAAGTGGTAGCTATATCTGTGCTAACGATGCTAATCGTAGCCTCCAAGTTAAAACGTAATAGAGAAGTGTTTAGCATTAAGTGTGATAATACTACAGTATTATCACACTTAATGCTAAACACTTCTGTTTGAGGAAGATAAAATAAGGTCATCCTTGTAAGTTAGAGAGATATTTTATTAGGTAGGTAACTTTATGCATCGCTAAGGTTAATTTAAATTCGCTATGCTCGATTATGTAGACAAGCTAACGTCAAAATAGTGTTGAAGAGCGGCGTAGTGTAGGCTATGTGAAATTAACCTCACAATAAGATGTGTGTATATTACAAATAATAATGTCATATTTCAAGATGATTACTTAGATATTACAATATGGTTGGTTGAGCTGGAGTTCATTATTGAGCTTACACGTTAACGTCACAGTCATATCTGAAGAACGAACCCACACCTTGTTCTTTGTATGAATTGTTTTAGCAAATTGGTATCAAATAAATAGTAAGCATTGGGAATACCAATGCTGATAAAGTAAACTATTTATTTGAGTATTTGTGTCTGGGAGAAGTTACCAGTGGCGAGCCGTCAGGGCCCTCTAGGCCCTCTGTGAGGGCCTAAGATATTCTAAAAAATAATATTTGAAAACATTAAAAAAACAACATTTTTTTAAAAATATTATCTTTTATATTATTTTTTTTACATTTTTCATTAGTTTTACCAAAATAAATTGATTTAATTGTATTTAAATAACATTTCCAAATAAATAAATCCTTTGAATCTGCCTTTTCAGTTTCTGTTGGAATGTGAAGGGTTAAATGCCGTCTCTGCGAGTTACTGTGAAGACGGGAGAGCTTGTTGGTCCCTCTGTACATTCACAGAGGGCCCGCTATAGTAACTCAATGAGAGAGTAATGTCAAATGACAGTACAATTGACCAATCATATCTTCCCTCTAAATGGGTGGGCTTTATTTTCGCGGACTTTATGACAAGTTCCGCCCGCTGTGGGGTTTATGCAAGTGTATAAAGTGGTGCAGTGACGCTTCCTAAAACCCGGAAGTAAGCTGCGCTCGGGTTCCCTCGACAGAAAAGCAATGGGATTTCTCATGGATGTAATAGGTCGAAATAAGGTCTGTGGAAAACGAACCTGATAGATAAATGCACGTTTTGTTCAGCCGGATAATATCCACATGTCTACCCTACTTTTATTATTTTCGAATCATAAATCTAATCGATAGATTTATGATCGATAGATTTATGATTAGCATAAGTTCGTTCATGATGGCTCATGTCAGTGATAGTGATGACATCGTTGCGAAATTATTAACCGAGTCATTTTCAAGATTGAGTTACAATGATAAATTGGAGTGGCAAAGGATCAGCTGCATGACCCCGCCATCAAGTGCTTCATCCAAAAGGACAGGAGGATGGACTTTGTGTTTAAGTGATATGATCATCAAAGGTAGGCCTAAGTCATTAGCTAAATAACTGGATGGCCTACCTGCCTGTCAGCCTTCCATCTGTGCACAAACTTATCTCGTGCCCTCATTGGTCATGTGCGCGCTCGTGTGTGTTGGAGAAGGGGCTCTGTAAGGAAGTGGCAGATTTTTTCCGGTTGTGTATTTTCAAATTCTAGCGCACTCGAGCTGGTTTCTCCAAAATTACCTACCCCACCTTTAAGTAAAAGACCAAATCATGTCAAGCTTTAACTTGAGCCTGTTTTTTCAGTCTTTACACTGTTGGAAAATACCTTCCAAAGGCTAAATTCAAACTCAATACCATAAATAACTGGGTACCAAAGTGCTTTACCTGATAGAACACGTTCCACATGGAGCAGCAACCATCCGGCTCGGCCTTTTGCTGCATATCATCTCCTCCCTCTCCACTGTTTCCATTAGATCTCTACTGTCCAATAAAACTGAAATTCCCCAAAAAATCATATTAAAAAAGTTTAAAACAATAACTTGCTTTTGGCATTGAAATGGATTAGAATCTCACCATTTTCCTGGATGTCAGGAAGGCCAGGAAGTCATTCCCTTCAAGACCGCAACCAGTCATAGGAGTTCAAATGCAAAGCCTGAACGATGACAAGAGCGGGAGACTTACATTTTACAATTATATTTTTAATTAATACCAGAGCAGGCCCTGTACGACATGCAGAGAACAGATCAAATCCCCTGACAGAATCACACACTTTGGTGATATCCTCTTCTGATAATGTTTCATTTTTTAGCAGCAAAGTAACATTACTCAAAGTATGTCAGACCCAACTCATTTACAGTATGTTTTGCATCTCCTCAACAATGGTCTGTATCATTGAGTAGAAAAAAACTGTCCCTACAATTTCAGGTAGATTAACACACATTTGTAAGACAAGTTTACAATGAAGCACAAAAACCCTCTTTGTATTAAGCGAGCTGCCACACAAAGTACAGCTTAACATGCTAACCTTTGGTAGAGAGCTACAGTTTGCTAACTTCATGTTCAACACAAAACCTCTAATGGCATTACATTGACAATTTTAAACAAAACGTAACTCTCTCAACTTGTAAGATAACGTTAAGTTAACTTACCCTTAAATAACTACATCACCTTTTTCAGGGGAAACACAAACTGCAGAAAACGTTAGCTGCTAACTGTTGATAGCTAAGACAGCTAGCCTCCTAGCAAACGTAATATTAAGTTAACATTAACGTAACGTTGTAAGAAAGCAAAACGAACCTTCGAGAAAGCTTTTACTCTCAGACTTGGTGAAATTGTGTAGTGTTGCTTACCTCCAGAAGGACTTTTAGCGCGTTTCCCAGTAGACAGAGCTTTCAGAGCGGTGCCTCTCAGAAGAGCAGCCGCTGGGCGGAGTCACAGAAACGCTCAACTGATCTTCTTCACTCCTTGACCGTTGTGCCGTTAGTGCCAGTCAAAACATACCGCTTTGTTTCAACCACTGCCGTCTCGCCGTCCCCCGCCCTCTCTGTCTGTCTGTGTCTGTTTCAGTTTAGCCAGCAAGACTGCTGGTAGACCAGCATAAATACCAACTTCACCAGCATCCAGTTTAACTACCAGCTAAAACCAGCATAGACCAGCATGACATCCATGCTGGTCTATGCTGGTTTAGCTGACCAGGCTGGTCTTGAACCAGCCAGAACAGCTTGTCCAGCCTCGTAAACCAACTAAACCAGCCTAACACCAGCTAAAACCAGCATAGACCAGCATGACATCCATGCTGGTCTATGCTGGTTTAGCTGACCAGGCTGGTCTTGAACCAGCCATAACAGCTTGTTCAGCCTGGTAAACCAACTAAACCAGCCTAACACCAGCTAAAACCAGCAACCATCTTAAGCTGGTCTATAGCTGTTTTTTTCAGCAGGGTAGTACATCATTAAAACACTTTACACTGTATCAAGACTGTCAAGTTGTCAAAGTTAGCCAGTAACTACAGCTTTGTTTGTCACTTACCTTCATAATTGTCGATGTAACTGCTATGTACATCTTGAACCCCTTTTCTCTTTTGCTCCTCGGGGCTGAGCTTGCCGCTTGTACCAGCCGATGGACATCACTGATGTGTAAAATAGTGCCATCACGTTAACGTTAGCCTTCTCACTTCGCTCTACCGCTATCTATACGCTATCTATCTCTCTATCTATCTATCTATCTATCTATCTATCTCTCTATCTCGCTATCTATTGCTATCTATTCGCTATCTATTGCTATCTATTCGCTATCTATACCGCTATCTATACCGCTATCTATCGCTCTTCCCTCTACCGCTCTACCGTAGACCGGAAGTTTACAACCACACACTCAATGAACCGGAAATGGAAATATGTCATCCCGTGCAACTAGCCTATACCCCAAATCAGCACTTTTGAAACAGGAAGTGAAATAGAGGGATATGAGGCATGGCTAGAATGGGTGATCTGTTTGGTATTTTGAGCAAAACACTTCATAGACATGTTTTTTATATATTTGTTATATATCTGAGACCTATGCTATTGCCTAAAAATAGCATGATAGGTCCACTTTAAGTAAAAATTCAAAAGTGTTAGTATCAAAATATACTTAAAGTAAAAAGTACTCATGCAGAATGGCTCATTTGAGAATAATATGTATTATATCACTGGATTATAATTAGTGATGCACTAACTCACAGGTCTCAAACTGCAAAAAAAACACTTTCACTTACTGTAAAAAAAAATGTTAAGTATGACGAAAATATTTTAGCAATGGTAATAAAAAAGTATTTTTTTGACATGAGAATACCAGCAGTGGCCCCAAGCCAATTTGTGTTGCATCAATAATGTTGCAGCTAGTAAACGTAGAAATTATTTTTGACTACTTTATATACTGCAGGGTAGCTTAATCCATAATAATACATCATAATTTAGAATTTGATTTATGTTTTTGAACTAATCTCATGGTTCAAAGTAACTAATGCTGTCAAATAAATGTAGTGGAGTAAAAAGTACAACAATGTCTTCCAAAGTGTAGTGGAGTAGAAGTATAAGAAGCATAAGATGGAAATACTCAAGTATAGTACAAGTATCTCAAAATTATACTTGAGTACAGTACTTGAGTAAATGCACTTAGTTACATTCCAGCTTTATACTGTGAATGGTTGAGCTCCAGGTCGCATTTTTAGGTTACGAAGTTGACTTTATATTGGGGGGGGGGGAACACATCCAACATTTTCTAAATTACTGACAGGCATAAGTTATTCAGTTATTGAAAAAAAAAGCCTACTACTAACTAACATGATAGACCATCGCTGTTCAAACTCTGAGAGCCGTTCAAACAAAAATAACACTGCCATCTTTTAATCTTCACTTGTGGCCTCGGTTTAACGGCAGCAACATGTGTGCTGGTCCGGCCTGCTGGCTCCGTCTCCCGGCGGTGGGGAGGAAGAGCCAAGGGTGCGAGTCGTTTTCTCGTGTCTGCCACTAACGTTAATACATTAAAATACTTTCAAAACGCACAGGACAAGCCCTCTGGCCAATTCGACTTCTTTGTCCTCTCATGTTCGGGCAGACTGGCGCGACAGTGACTCGCTATCGCCTCTCGAGTAACAAGTGGTACTACAAAGCAGGACATGCCAGGGCTAGTCAGTTAGCATGCTAATTTCAGTAGCTAATATATCTATACAACACAATAGATTGGCGTCTTTGACATAATGCAAGCACTGTAACCTCTTCGGTTTCTGTACATATTCTTTTGATTGTTTAAAAAAATTCTGGCCATGTCTTGTCTTTATCCATTGTAACCATAACCTGACAGGATGATAAAGCTAATTTTGGAAAACTGCGGCTAACGCTAACTCAGCTAACATTACTTTTCCTCTCCTCTGCTTTTGACAATGCTATTCTATGCTTCTTTTGATGCATGTGAGTGTTTTTTTTAATTATCTGGTAAATTACAGTTAAGGTTAGCTAGCTAACAGCACGTAACATAGCCTATCTAAAACATAATCTCTCAACTTTGTGAACTAATGCACAGAAACGTTAACATGGTTCAAGCAAACAAGAATCAGGCTATTATGCACAAAGACCAACACAGTCTCACGGCATTTCGTGTTATAGTCACGAAATTAATCTATTGATTCGTGTTCACCAACACGATTTCGCCATTTTTTTCGTGTCACACAGAACGATTTTAAAAGCAATGTAAATAATAACAAATTAGAAGGAAAAAGACATTTAAAAAAATATAGATTTAAGTATTCTGACATAGAACGATTTTAGAAGCAATGTATTTATATTGGTAGTATGTTTCGTGCCTGCACCAAATAATAACAAATGGCTCTGAGCCATTTCTTTTCCTCACTGACGGCAAAAAAACTCAGACATTATACAATTTAAAATAAAAGGGATAGGGTTAGGCTTAGGGTAAGATATTGAGTAAGAACATGTTTTTCTGAACCACACAGCTTCTGGTCTTCCAAGACCCGACCGGACAAAAAGACGTGTTGCAGGCACGAAACATACTACCAATAGAAATACATTGCATTTAAAATCGTTCTGTGTGACACGAAAAAAAGGTGAAAATCGTGTTGGTGAACACGAATCAATAGATTAAATTAATTTCGTGACTAATAACACGAAATGCCGTGAGACTGGGTTGCAAAGACACATATACATACATGCCAACCTTTCCAAATCCAAAAGAGGTAGGTTTGCACGTGGCAAATGTGCACGCCCAAATTAGGTAATCAGAAGAAATGGAACCACAGTAATTACAGGTATAAACCATGTATTTAATATATTGCATCACTTTTTGCATTTTTCACAAAAATTGGTCATACAATGTTCAGTCACTTTAGTGCTTGGTATGTAGCAGACTTGGCTTTCTTGAGAAGTTCAGGGTCTGGTTTCCAGTTGCAGCAGGTGAATTTTTTGAAGATGTTTATCTTCCCTGCCAACAGACCTTCGTGTGCTTCTCTCCTCTCCGCGATACCTTGATAAACTCGTGATCTGCTGTCCACTTGGTTTTAAACACATTGTCCCACCGCTTGGTGGGCTTCTTCTTCTCGGGGGTTCTATTCATCGCGGAATTTCCATCGCAAAACCTGTAGCTGTGTGTATTGTTGAACATCTCTGATGTGAATAAACAACACTGGCCCGCCAAGACCGAACACTAATCACGTGATGAGCAAATCCAATTTCATTGGATAGGAGCCAAAGTCGAGTCCATTGTCTATGGTGCGCCAAGGGGCATTTTTATTTTTTATAATTTGGGAAGATTGAAATCGGTAGGGAAAGCCAGCTAAATCGGTAGGCGGTAGAAACATGTCAAAAGCGGTAGACTACCGCCCAAATTGGTAGGGTTGGCAGGTATGCATATATTATCATAAGTCTTAAACAGAGAGACAATAACTTACCAACACTTCTTTTTCCAGCCATGCAGCTCCTCCGACAGCCTTCAAAGTGCAAACCTAATTGAACCGTCGTCCAAAATCGCGGGTATCTTGTCTTGTCAAGACGCATGCGCGGATTCAAACAGCTACTTTGGTTTTGGATTAACATTTACTTAGTATTTAAGGTTTATGAGCAGTGACTATAAATAATTTAAATATTATGAGTAAATATTAGGGCTGTCAAGTTAACGCGTTAAATTAAAAAAAATTAACGCCACTAATTATTTTAACGCGATTAACGCATGTGTATTTTTTGTCCTCGGCCGCCCCGTAGTTTCAGAGCGCATCGAGTTTAAAATACCATCTACAAGTTGATGCTGACAGCCCCGCTCCTGCCGCCCACTTGTGGAAGACCACACTTCCACGCTCACCGGCAGGCCCGGACTGGCCATCGGGAGGACCGGGAGGGTGTGTGTACAGATGGAGCAGCTTATTTCAGACTCCAGCTTACTGCTTCCTGCCTGCTACCTGCCAGCTACCTGCCTAAGACCTGCCAAAGACCAGTATCTGGGAATGTTAAGCCCTCCCACTATTTTCCAAGAGGGCGTTGCCAGATTTTCAATTTCAGGATTTAACCAGGAGATGGCGCTTCATTCACAAAAACAGGAGGACAGCTTTTCATGGACTTTCAGTTTTGTTTAGAAGAGCATTTGAACACATAAATATTTTAGATCAAATAAAGTATATCTAATCTTGTAATTCAATAATATATAGTCTTTATATATTAAATAACTATGGCCAAACTAAGACTTAGTTTTTCAAAAGAGAAAATGCAGATATTATATAAAAAACTAAAGATAAAATCTTGTTTTTAATGCCCCAAGAGCAATAAAAACACTTGGTAAAAAAATCCTGAGTGAGGCTTTCATAAATTGCATTTAGCTGACGCTTTTATCCAAAGCGACTTACTATTTAATAAATGATAAATGATTATTCATAACAAATATGACTGATGTGTGATTATTATTCATAATACTGATATAGGGCTAAGTAAGCAATCAATCCTGCAAATTAACCCTTAGTTGTTCAATATATTTATTCAGACAATGTGAGTAGAAATACAGAAATTCTGCTCCCACCTAAGGCCAACGTTGCAATATTACAACATTTCCCTAAAAACGTACCAAAACGTAAACATTTTTAAAACTCTTTCATTTCTGCTCCAGAGGCTAAACAACAACATCTGAAAGGTCAAGAAAAACAAACAGGGCTAGACAGCCATTTGTAGCATATGGGAGAATGGTGAAAAGAACCAACTGGACTGGGACCAATGGGAAAATGCCTCTTCCCCTCAATGTGAAGCAAAAGATTGA